TGTAGGATAGTTGTAGCCTGGGTCCCCTCACTGAGCCTTCAGGTCCCCTCTACACTGTTGCTGACATCAGATCAAGACTACCCATTACTACCCTACAACTCTCCTATGTTTCAGGCATTAGTACTTACTGTTGTGTCAATCTCTTTCCTTTGTTCTGACCCTTTTACATTTTTAAATTTTAAACTTTCTAAACCCTTTTAAACTTTTGCCACCCTTCTTCTATCCATTACCCCTTTTAGTTTAGTGTTGATTCCTTTGTAGTGTAGACATGAACCCTACTACACTAACTGCCACCCCTACTGTCCTGCCAGATCAGCAGTTATGAGCAGAGCTAGCTTAATATGTGTAAACCTCTATTTAAGAGGCCTTTACCAACCACATGCCCCCAGCCCCTTTAGAACCTGTTCCAATCATTCTAGAAGTTGCAACCTGTTCTGGAAAGAAAGTGTATGTAGCCTACCCTTTAGACTTTAATAGGTAGCACTTCAAAGACTTCCAGCACCAAGTCAAACTATACATGGCTACTGTTTCAACTGATCTATCCTCAGATCTCAATTGTGTCCTATTTGTCCTCTCCTTCATGAAGGAAGGCAACACAGCCATCTGGGCCTAGAACTGGATCAAAGGCTATTGGATTGAAAGCCTGATCTGACTTCAGAACAATGAGTCATACTCAGAATTCATAGGGCAGCTCTGTACTTCCTTCATTGATCTGAATGAGAAATGTAATGTATAGAACAAGCTTGTGTCTCTACAACAAGGCAAACATTCTGCTGATACCTTCTTTCAGGAGTTTGATATCCTAGCCTAGAAGGTAGGATTCATGCTTGGGTTTGATAATGTCCTCATTAGAATGCTTGAAAAAGCTCTTCACCCAGAACTGGTTAATAAGATTCTCAGAATAATACTAGAACTAGTCACCTACACTGAGTAGAAGACATGCACCATCTCCTTCAACCAAGCTACAGCTTAGATGTGTTAAGTCTGTACAGAACACTTACACATGTGTCTGGCTCTGACAGTTCCAAGCCCTCAGATTGATCCACCTGTAATTTGTGATCAATCTGTTCTGATGGACATTAGAGAAGCCTGAAAGTAAGGAGTATGCTTTGCCTACAGAAAGTCAGGGCACTAAATTAAGGACTGCCTACAGAAGTGACAGTATATCTGTCAGGTCATTAGAGTAATGATGAGTGACAAGCAGGATTTGTGGTGAGAAGCCTTTTCTACAAATCCAGAAGTCACCTCAGAACTCCTAGACCCTGACTATGTACTCTAGGATTTTGTAGAGGCCTAACAGTGAATGTAGTACTGAAGGACTATGACTCAGATTTTTTAATGGCCACTTTTGATTCAATGGACACTGTAGGATTAGAAGTACATAAAGTAAGAAAAGTAGAAAAAGTAGAAAAAGTAGAAAAAATAAATCAACAAAGTTATTTATTAGAAAGGAAAAAGTCAAAAACAAAAGTAGATAGTTCTCCTATTTTTTCTGATTCTTTTGATTCTTCTCTTTGTACTTCATTCAAGTCTAAATCTGTACAATCTAACCTGCTACTTCTGTGTTCCAAGATCTTAGAACATTCAGAATGTTACTCAGCCCTGTTCACCACTCAGTAGTTTGTCTATAGTATCAAGTAGGGATGGCCTCAGCTGAGTTTACAACTGAGGACATGAGTCTGTCCTTGTTAAAAGAGAGAGGTTAATAAGGAAATGTTAGTGTATATACTTACTCTCTCAGACAACAAGGTTATGCAAGCTGTATGTTCCCTTCAGAACAAGTAGTAGTTCATCTGAGAACATTCTAGGTACTAGCTCTAGGTCCCTGTCCTCTTAGCTCCCTTCTTAGGATCCCCCCAGATCTGAACAATAGCTCTAGTAGACAGTAGATACACTAGTTCATACATTAATAAGGCCTTTGTGTAGGAACACTACCTCCCTACTCAATGTGTTCCACTTCTGATCCTAGTATACAATGTAGACAGAACTCTGAACTGGAATGGTCAGATTACCAAGTTTGTCCAACTATGGATGACTATTCAGGATTATAAGGAAAGCATTAAGTTCAGAGTTACTAACCTTGGAAAGACAGATGTCTTTATCAGATTCAAATGGCTCAAGGCTTACAACCCTACTATTAACTAGTTGGAGCAGACACTTGTGTTCAATCAGTGTCCTGAGTCTTACAGCTACCTTACACTACTGTTCTGAGTAGATACAGACACTTCTAATGTTACTAACAGTTCTGATGAAGGTGACCAGTTGTTCTTCTTCAACTAGGATAGATATGTGGATACATATTCTAGTTGAGACAGAATAGAGTCAATCCAAAGGATGTCTGAGACAGAACCAGTCTGGAACCCTCTTAGAACAACTCTACTCTAGAATGTATACAGACCCAGCCTGCCAGATTTTGTCTAAGAGTTCCCCAAAGTCTTCAGTGAAGAGGAATTCAACCAGCTTCCTGAATACTGTCTCTAGGACTATGTAATTGAATTGACCAAGGGTTTCCAACCTAAGGATTGTAAGGTCTACCTACTCAATAGAGACAAGTAGGAGGTGCTTAATGAGTTCCTTTAGGAAAATCTTTGGAACAGCCAGATCTGACCCTTAAAGTCCCTTATGGCCTCTCCTTTCTTCTTTGTCAAAAAGAAAGATGGGAAGCTCTACTCAGTCTAGAATTATTGTTGTCTTAATGAGGGTACTGTCAAAAACAAGTACCTACTCCCCCTGATTCAGGAGCTTATTAATAAGACACATACATTTAGGGTTTTCACTAAGTTAGACATTTGATGAGGGTACAATAATATTCAGATCTAAGACAGAGATGAGTAGAAGACTGTGTTCTGAACTAATTATAGATTGTACAAACCAACTGTAATGTTCTTTAGACTAACTAACTTGCTCACAATGTTCTAGTCATTCATGAATCACATCCTCACAGATCTGATTGACTCAGAGCATGTTAGTGTGTATCTGGACAACATTCTGATCTTCACCCAGACAGTTGAGCACTATTACTGACTAATCTGAGCAGTTCTACAACAGCTCCAAGATAATAAACTGTTCCTCTAAGAAGTAAAGTACTCTTTTACACAGGAGTCAGTAAATTATCTAAGCTTTGTGATTGGTGAAGGAGAGGTCTGTATGGATCCAGCAAAGGTAACTGTAGTTTGGAACTGGCTACAACCTTAGAACCTGAAACAGGTCTAAGCATTCCTTAGGTTTGCAAACTACTACTAATACTTTATTCAAGGCTTCAGTACCATTGCTCAGCCCCTTCATGATCTTACCAGTAAGGATGTTCCTTAGTAATAGGATGATCAGTAGTAGTCTGTATTCAAATCCCTTAAGTAGGCTATTACTAGTAAGCCTGTATTAGTAGTTCTAACAGTTGTAGACAAGTTCTGAGTTAAAGCCAACTCTTCCAACTTTGCAAATAGAGTAGTACTGTCCTAGTTCATTGACAGAAAGTAGTGTCCAATAGTGTTCTGATCAGAATCCCTCTCTGTAACAGAACAGAACTACTCTATCTATGATAAGGAACTCCTCACAATTGTCTGTTCCTTAGAGGAGTAGTGTCAATATCTCCTTAGTACTGTATAGAAGTTTGAGATTTAGAGTGATCACCTTAATCTCTAGTACTTCTAAGTGCCTCAGAAGCTCAACTACTACCAAGCCTACTAGATGTTAGAACTACAAGACTATGACTTTGTGCTGACCCACAAATTCAGAATACAAATGACAAAAGCTGATTTACTCTTGAGACAAGTAGGTTATGAAAGGAGGGAGAATGATAACAAAAATCTTGTTCTCCTAGACAATTCCTGTTTTGTGTCTAAGACAATCCAAGAGATCCAACTTGAATCTGAGGATTTTAACTTTGTCACTTACATACAGTGAGCTCTGAGACACACACAGGACTAGGTTGTAGTAAAGTAACTAGAGAAGCAGGCTAGGGATTGGGAGGAGGATGAGGATGGACAGGTTTACTAGGAAGGCCAACTGTATGTTCTGAAGGATTAGAAACTGTAGGAGGACATTGTCTGAGCTTATCACAACAATCCAACTGTAGGACATTTAGGCTGACACAAAATGTAGGAACTTATTACTCAGAACTACTAGTAGCTCAGAATGTAGAGGGAAATCCTGAAGTATGTGACTGGTTGTAATACATGCTAACAGACTAAGGCCTACCAGACAAGGGTTCAGGCTCCTCTACATCTGTATCAGATCCTGGATCACTCTTAGGAAGAAGTCTTGGTGGACCTGATTAGTGAGCTACCTGAGTCTTAGGGTTACAACACTATCTGTGTGATTGTTGACTGATTCTCTAAGCAAGTCCATACAGTTCCAACCTAAACAGAACTTACTTCTGAAGGTATGGTACACATTTATCAGAATCATGTCTTCCAGTTGTACAGACTCTCTTAGAAGCTCATTCATGATTACAGACTACAATTTGAGTCAAAATTCATATAGGACTTGTATGTACTTCTCAGAATTCAAGGGAACCCTTCTACTACCTATTACCTGTAGACTGACAGTCAAACTGAGTAAGTCAATCAGGAGATCAAGCTCTACCTCTAGATGTTCATCAATCATCAGTAATCAGATTAGTCTGAATAGCTAGCTCTGACAGAATTTGTGCACAATAACTAACAACACTCTACAACAGGACAGTCCCTGTTCTTCCTCAATCATAGGAGACATCTGTACCAGGGGACTGTTCTGAACCAGAATAGTAGTTCTGAATCTGTAACAGACTTTGCAGAACAGATGTACAGAACTAGGGAGGACACACAAGCTCTTTTGGAAAAGGTAGTACAGGTTATGAAGCAGAACTATGATTGGAAGAGGTCTGTGGCTAAGGATTACTAGCCTGGTGACAAAGTTATGCTGGAAGCCACTAACCTGACCACAGATCACCTAATGAAGAAGTTGGACAACAAGCACTTCAGACCCTTTGTTATTAAAAAGAAGGTTAGTGCCTCTGCTTACAAACTCTAACTTCTAGCAACATGGAAGTACATACACTCAGTGTTTAACAAGGTTCTACTGTCTTGATACTACAATCCAGGTTTTCCTTTACAACAAAGACCCCTACTGCCTCTACTAGAACTCATTGGTTCTGAACTGGAATACAAAGTAGAGTACATAGTAGATGCCAAGCTGGTGCACAGAAAGCTCAAGTTCCTTATCTACTGGAAGGGATACTTAGTTGAAGAACACACTTGGGAACCTGCTGAGAATCTCACCCATACTGCTAAGACAATCTAAGACTTCTATTGACTTCATCTGAGTGCTCTGTGTCAACTCTGCCTTACAGAATTCCAAACCCTACTGTTCTGACCTATGCCTGAGCTACTGACCAAGCCTAATGCTCACCAATCAGGATGATTGGTTTTAGAGGGGGGGTGATGTTATGGTTCTCTACTCTCATACCTTCAGTTCTGAGGGTTCTGCACCCTTCTGTACTAGAACTCAGGACTTCCATCCCTCAGGGGCACTGTCTATGAACTATATGTGTGCTAACTCT